GGGGGCGGGGGAGGATCAGAGGAGCCAGCAACTGGGAGGAAGGAAAGGGGACACTGAGGAAGGGGAACTGGGAGCTTCCTGGATAACCAGGGGCCACTGTGGACCGGGTATGGAGGGGCTGGGGCTGAGGCTGAGGTAGGTCAGCGGCCGAAGGGTGCGGGGTCAGGGGTTGTGAGGGGTCGGGTAGCGGAATGGTCAAGAACTTGAGCCTAGAGTTGGTCAGACCCGGGCGTGGATCCCAGCTCTCTCACTTAGAAGCCGCACAGTACCGGGCAGTCTATTTGCTTTCCCGGCCTCTGTTTCCCCGTCTGTACAACGGGGCGGCCGTAGAGCATCTAGCAGCACTCCGTGAGATGATGTGCACGCAACGCCCAGCCCGGAGGGCGGGCTCGGCAGAAGCCGGGGTGCTGAGGGGAGGGCTGGAGGGCGCGCTGCTGTGCGAGGTGGAGGTGGCGGGAGGGGCCGGCGTCCACGCAGCCCCCTTGTCCTGCAGGGCCAGCGGGCTACCTGCGACGGGCCAGCGCGGCCCAGCTGACCCAGGAGCTGGGCACTGCCTTCTTCCAGCAGCAGCAGCTGCCGGCCGCAATGGCGGACACCTTCCTGGAGCACCTCTGCCTGCTGGACATCGACTCGGAGCCTGTGGCCGCACGCAGCACCAGCATCATCGCCACCATCGGCAAGCGCCGGCCGTCCCCGCAGCGTCGCGGGGCCTCTCGGGCGTTTCTCGGGGCTCTTCCTCATCCTTTGGGACTTCTTTGCGTTTGACAGAGTCATGCACTCAGCAAATGTCTGCTGAGCGCTTGTGGTAGATAAGGTTTTGGGCCCTGGGAGCAGAGCAGTGAAATAAGCAGACAGAGATCTCTACCCCTGAGGAGCTGCCAACCTAGCCGGGTGGGACAATAAATAATAACACGATCACTTGCTTAGCATGTCAGAGCGGGGTGAGCACTAGGAGGGATAGAAGAAGCACAGAGCGTGGGGAAGGACGCCAGGCGCCGCGCGGGAGGCAGGTCGCAGTCCCAGGTGGAGGGTCCGACATTACCGAGAATATGAGACCTGAGTGGACCCTCGAAGACGAGAGAACGAGCCCCGCAGATGTCTGGGGAAGAGAGTTCCAGGCAGAGGCGGCAGTCAGCGTGAAGGCCCCAGGTCAGGGAGGCTGGGGTGGCTGGAAACCCAGCGGCCAAGAAGAGGTGGGGGAGGGGGAGCTCATGGAGGGCTTCGCAGGCCGTTTTTAGAGTTTGAGTTGCCTTTTCCTCCGAGTTAAGTGGGACACTGCTGCAGTCTTGAGCAGGGGAGTGACATGGTTTCAGTGGCACCGCCCTGGCTGCTGGGTGGAAAATCGAGTGGAGGTGGGGGTGGGGGCAAACTCGGAGCCGCAGCCAGTGTTTCTGGCTCAGACCAAGTGGTGGCAATGGAGGGGGGTGGCGGCGGGGGAAGGTGATCAGGTTCTGTCCGAATGGATCTGGAAGGCAGAGTTGACAGGTTTCCCGGTGGGTTGGATGTGGGGTGGGGTGAGGGGGACAAGTCGTCGAGGGCGCCTCCAAGGCTTTGGCGTGAGGCCCTGGAAGGGCGCATTATCAACTGAGCGGGAGAGACGGGTGGAGGTTTCAGGGAGATCAGTTTGGGGCAAGCTGAGTGTGAGATGCATCTGAGACGTACATGTGCCACGCGGAGTGGACAATCAGACACATGCGCTCTGGATTCAGGACAGAGGTCTGCGCTGGAGATATACATTTGGGATACAAGATTGGCGGTATAAATTGTCGGCATATAGGTGGCATTTAAAGCTGTGAGGCTGACACCACCACGGAGTGAAGGTGACATGACAGAAGAGAACGGGGCGTGCCATGTTACGGGGAGGGAGGAGCAAGAGAGGTTACGGAGAGCCAGGGAGAGCACTGGGCCAAGTCCCAGCAGTATCCTGGGAGCCAAGAAGGGACGTCAAGGACACGTGTGCGGTGCTGCCGATGGGCCAGCTGACATGGCGGCCGAGCGCTGGCCTCTAGATTTAGCAAGAACTCATTGATTCTTGGTGACCTTGATGAGAGCAGATGCAGTAGGGAGCTGGGGGCCACCCCCTGGCTGGAGACCCCCGAGGGAGAATGCGGTGGGACTGGAGACAGCAAGTTCATTCTTACAGAGAGTTTTGCTGCAAAGAAACAGAACTGGGATTAGATTTTTTATGCTGAAGGAGCTAAGGCAGGCTTACATGCAGGTACGAGTGATTCCACAGAAAGGAAGACACCGACGACACAGAGGGCCGGAGAGAGCGGCTGGAGCTCAGTCCTTGGGCAGGTGGGCGGGCTTTCCTAGAGGAGGCAGAGCTTGGCCAGTTGGCTCTCAGTTCCACAGCTGACCGCTGACCGGTCGGCACAGCCGGGAATGGAAGGACTCTGCTCTCCTCAGTCAGGATGAGGCCTGTGGGCCCTACAGCCCCGGACCCCAACCGCCCTCACCTGGGCCCGGTCCCTTGCCGTACCCCGTAACTTGCTGGGGTTACCCCTACATGCAGCAGTGACATCGCCGCCGAAGCCCCTCCAAGCCCCAGGGAGGCAGGCGTTGGCGCAGAGGGGAACATTGTTCCTAAGCCATGAGCAGGGACTGCGTTGGGGACAAGGCCAGGTACCAGGACCTCTGCGGCGTGGGCGTCTCCGAAGGTGGTGCGGGATTTGGTTGACTCTCGGGTTTGGAGAGAAAGGCGTCTGAGCGGGGTCTCTGGTTCCAGGGCCAGCGTCGCGCTCCGTGGAGCGCCTCAAGGAGATGATCAAGGCCGGGATGAACATTGCGCGACTCAACTTCTCGCACGGCTCGCACGAGGTTCGCCCAGGGGCTGCGGGGGCCGCGGGGCTGGAGGATGCCCGGGGTCCGAGCCGCCTTCCCCTGAAACCCCGGCTCGGTTCCGTCCCCAGTACCACGCCGAGTCCATCGCCAACATCCGGGAGGCGGTGGAGAGCTTTGCAGCTTCCCCGCTCGGCTACCGACCCGTGGCCATCGCACTGGACACCAAAGGACCGGAGATTCGCACTGGCGTCTTGCGGGGGGTAAGGCCGGCCGGGGCATGCGGGGTCGCGAGGGTCCAGCAGGGGGCGACAGGGCGTGAATTAGTGGCCCGGGGGGCGGCGGGGGGGG